TTTTTCAAAAAATTTTTTTGTTTCCAAAAAAAATTTTTTTTCTCAAAAAAAAATTTTTTTTTTTTCAAATAAATTTTTTTTTTCAAAAGAAAGTAATTTTTTATCAAATTTACAGTTTCTCAAAAATCTATTTCTTCGAAGTAAAATTTTTTCAAAAATGTCAATCGTTTTTAAAAAAATAATAATTTTTGGTACGGGAAGTTCCAGCAATTTGCCTTAAGGCACGATGCCCTAATTGCCTTAAGACAGAATTCCACTTACAGCTAGTTTTACTATAATGTCAGATAACGCTTTATCCGCGTCGCCGGTGGGAACCGCTGCGCCAGCTACAGCATCGTCGAGTGAAGCCGTCCCATCGAAGAAAAAGCGAGTGAGGGCGCCCTATCCTCCCATATACGTAATGGTCAACGACGCCATAGCAAGCCTGAAAAAACGCGGAGGATCGTCGCTGCAGGCGATCAAGAAATATATGTCGGCCAATTATAAAATCGACGCCGAGAAAAAATCAACATACATCAGAAAGTATTTAATGTCGGCAGTTGAAATGGGAACACTCATTCATACGAGAGGCAACGGTGCTTCGGGTTCGTATAAACTTGCCGCTAGACAGAGGGGCGGCGAAAGCGGTGTTTCGGCTGGAAAAGCTAGGACCGCTAAGAAGCCAGCGATAAAAATAAAATCGAAGACAGCAAAGTCGAAGGGCGCCGCCAAACCTGCTTCGTCCCTTAAAAAGAAGTCTGCATCCGCAGCGGGCACATTAAAAAAGTCGTCGGCGAAACCTAAGACGACAGTCGGTAAGAACAAGACCATATACGTGTTTATCTATGAACAAGACCATTTAGGGTAAGTCGACGAAAGCCTCATCGGCCAAGGCAACGAGCAATAATAAGAAGATTATCTTCGCTTTTTTTTCATCTTTTAATACATACTTTATTTAAGGCTTTATTATTTATATGTTCAGGAATGATTATTCATTTGATACAATTAATTTTAATTTATTAATTTTTTTTTTATTTTATTTTAGAATTGGGTCAACTGTATACTATTCTTTTCGATTAAGAAGAATGTTATTTTTTAATTCTTTTGATTATTTTAGTTTAAATAATTAAAATAAGATTTATTTTAATAATTTTTTCTTTATGCTTTGATAAGATTATAATTAATTTGATTTTTTATATTCCTAATACATATATTTTTTATTAGATTCATAATAAATATTATAGTTATAATTATGTTTTTATTAGGATTATGAGTAGGGTTAGAAATTAGGTTTTATAAAATATTATATATAAAAATGGATCGCAAAATGTGTTGGTAAGCGCATAACTCAACAACGCTCTTCGACACGTGGATGTGGACAGTAGCGATGACGTTTGTGACCTTGATCATTGTGCGGCAGCCATTAAAACAAAATAATGTTTTAAGAATGTAGGTGTACCAACAAAGGTGAGCGAAAGTCTCTAACAGTAAGATGTAGAAATGATGTATCTGTCAAAGCTATATTTAACCTAACATTTATAATTTCGACTTACAGTACTTGAAATGTTTCGATTGAATTTTGTCAAATAATCCAAATTTTTGAGTGTTTGACATTTTTTAATTTTATTGATATAATACAACTTATTTTGGACAGTGTTCTTTGAAAAGTTTGCAAGCCTAATATATTTCTTTTTATATATTTTTTATGTTTGAATATTTTACCAGAATAAAACATAGTTTAATTTCTGTATTACTCGTAAATTTTTAGCAGTTTTGTTTTTTTACCTAAATATGCGGATTCGTACATTTAAACTTCAACAATATTTGCTGCGGAATTTAAAATTTAAATAAAAACAAATGCATAATCATAATGAAATCTTTATTGGGGGTGAATTATATAATATACAATGTAATATAAACACAACAAATTATTTACAATTATTCATAATTTACAGAACAAAACCTATTTCCATTAAAACAAAAATAGTAACAGTTAATGCATAACAATAACAATTATAATATCTATTATTTTAACTAATTATTTACAATTATTCATAATAATTTACAGAAGAAAACCTATTACCATGAGAACAAAAGTAGTAACAGTAAATGCATAACAATAACAATAAAATGTAATAACAATTAAAGAAGAGAAAAGAAGGAAGTAAATACATTCAAGATGAATAATAGGGAACCAAACATGAAAAATGGAGATTATATAATGATGTTATAATGATTATGATGATGATTAATTAATTAATGATTTTGATGATGATTACATAATAATTATGATTATGTAACAATTACATATGACATACCAAAAAATGCGTATGAATAGTGAACAATACAACAGGCCAAAGCATATGAATAGAAAGTAAAAGTTACAAAGTTTATCAAACAGAAGTCTTAGAATATTAGTCCATTTGAGGTTTAACATTGGAGGATTTGAGTCCCAATCATAATATATTTATATTTAGTCATAAACCATATAATATTCACGAGTAGAAGTTATGTTTATGATATGTTAATGATATTTAAATATTTGTCGAATATTGTAATGCCAGTGCTAGAATGATTTCTCAGCAAAAAAATCCTTAATTGAATATTGATATGTCTTATATAAAAAGACTGCATCTATCCATCTATTCTTCTGGTTTGAATTTTGCCACCAGTTTGATGATATTTGATATGACCTTATTTCCATTACTGATGATATAAGCTATATATATAACTTAGATATAGTTAAACATCTATTTGCATTTTATGATATTTGATATGACCTTATTTCCATTACTGATGATATTTGATTGCTTTCAAGTGCTCATTTTTATGTTACATTTGAATTAATATAGTTATAAGATTTTATTCATCAAGCCACAATGATTCATTAAATTGAAATAATAATTTTTAAAATTCACCATTTCTTTCTATTCGCATGTTAGAATCATGACTATCTTATATTTAAATGACAATAATTCTAATTATACTTTCTAATACAAACTTGTATTTTATTTTTTTTGTTTGTATTGTATTTATTTATGTCAACTGCTAATGTGTTTTGTGACCGCAAAGGTGAAATCTTTAATGTTTTCTGTTAACAGTATAGCTACTTTTAAATTACTAATTGCAATTTTTAGTATATATAATTTTGTATAAAATTTAAACTTCTTATAAGAAACTTCTAATATTAATTTCTTAGATTTTCTCTCAACATTTGTTACAGTTGTTTTGCTTTAGAAACATGCAACTTGTACAATCCGCGATATGAATGATTGATTAGCCGAGCGATTGTTGACTCTTTTTGCTATTCCTTATATTTCATAATAAGTTGTCCTAAACTATATTATATATCTGCTTGTGTGCATTGGAGGCAACATTAATTGACTGCATTATTTTCAATGACTACCTCATGATTTTATGACTTGTGATCGGAAGTTTGAGGTAATTGATTATCATTCATATTGGCATTACAAATTCAAAAATATATGCTTCAAAAATTAGTAAAGGAAAATAAAAATGTTACTATTAGTCAATATTAATTATGATTTAGTAACCAAATATATTACAAACACGAGACCTTTGCAAACTATGCAATAAATGAACTTAATATCCTATATTTAGAAACATGAAAGCAGTGCAGCTCAAAGACTTAAATAAATGAGTAGAGTGAGGCTTGGTGTTTGTTTATGCATATGTTCGTATTTTAAAATATATATGCATAGAAAGAGAAATGTAAAAAAAAAAAAACATACATAGGAATAGAATAAATAACAGCTAAATAAAGTATAACAAAATATAAACTGTACAACAGGAAAATCACCAATAAATTAAAAATTAAAGATCTGAGTAAAAATGACAATAGTTTTGAATTTGATCAATAATTATAGCTGGGATTAATGACAATGTGAATATCAGCACTATACATGAAGCTTATCATAAGAAAGTAATAAAGAGAGCTTCATTAATAACAAGATTTGTGGAACATTAAGAAAAAGAAAAGAAAAAAGTGTTACATACAAATGAAAAGATGAAAGTGTAAATAAGTGGGTAGAAAAGATGAGTTAAGATAAACGATACATAGTTTTGTTTTATAAAGATGTTGACACTGCTAATTATAGGCTTCAATATGAAGATTATATCTTAATCATGACTAGCATGTAATTTGAAATTCTGAAGGTTTGAGGTACCGACAGGGATTGCATTGATGATACAAATGGAACTATTGTTTATGGCTTTCAAATGTATACCTTACTCGTGGTAGATGAATTTGGAAACGGAATAGTGGTATAAAATATTTTCAAGAAAATTATTAAGGCATTAGGCATAATTACAATAAAGACATTCATGACATATCATGCTCAAGCATATATCAACGCTTGGTCATATGTCATTTGTTGTTTGTCCCACAGCATAAAAAACAGCAAAGCGAGAAGTCATTTATTGGAAATTAGTAGAAATAAAACGATTTTATAGAGGAAGATTTAATTTAAATACTTATTTGAATAAATTTTAGAAAGATGCTAAGTAATTTGTTACATATTTTAGAAAAGTTTACTACAACCGAGTAATTATGTTTTCACAATCAAATAAAAAGTCGAGTTTTGGGAAGAAAGTACCCTAGGTGTTGCACCTAAGATGCTTTTTATCAAAGAAAACGAAGATTTACTATCAACAAGACACGAGAGATAAACAAGTCACGCAAAATACACAACAATATTGCCTAATCGTAACACAGAAAATAATTCCAACACACAATGGTTTGTAATAGATGCTGTTGCACCATATGCAGTTATTAAGAAAAATAAAACATGTAATAGTACTTGCATGTGAACCGTGTAAGATTTGTTTTCATACATACGCATGCAGTTATTACGCATCCTTACATGTGCGGAACTGGTACTGAATAGTTAAGAAAACATGCGAGTAAGAATTGATTGATTCCTATTAAAACATTACCAGTCCCCCAAGTATTAAAAGTATGACATGTACATACCTACATGTGTGTTGTATGATAGACTTTCTTATTGTGGTATGCTAGTATTTGCCTTGCTACTAGTATAATGCGTAGTATAACACTTGCTACCTGCAAATAAAATATATGAATACATGGATAATTATGAAATAAATTATAATACATTAGTGAAATATTTAACTTACCTTATTTTAAATATGTAGCTATGTACTATTGTTCATGTTTCTGTATCAAATATTGAGCAGACTCACTTGTTGCCATATATAAATTAAATAATTTAAATAAATTATTCATGATAAAGATAAATTTACCAAACAGTAAAATTATATGCAATAAAATTATATAACATCAATAAAATTAATATATAAATAAATAAATTAAATAAATTAAATAAATAAATTAATAAATTAATTAAATAACATTGCTAATAAAATTTAAATAAATTAGATAATTTAATAACGAATCAAGTGGTCTTTTTCTTCCCTGCCCTTTGGCACTCTATCTTTTTATTTACATTTTCTCTCATATTTTCTTGGGCCGATGTCATTACTTGTTGCAGAAATGAACAAATTTGGTCCTTAAATATTTTATAATTACCAAACTGTTTATCCTGTATCAAATTCATGATCTCTTGGCCTGCTTGTTTTATAATGGCATAACAAGCCTCTTCATCGTCTTTTGTACTTGTTTGAAAATTCTCTGGATTTTTGAAGTCCTGAGATTTTTGTAACATATCTTTTTCTAAAAGTTCACGCCTATAACCAGTATCACTCGGGAAAACCTTTACACATGCATGGATGTGTTTGCAAATATTTGATCGTATCAAATAATCTATACAACTGCATGAGTACGTATGCAAACAAATCTTACATGATTCGCATCTCATGCATGTACTATTACATGTTGGATTTATTTTGGTAACCACGTATGGTGCAACGTTATCTTCTGTTGAAAAAACATTCCATTGTGTGTTGGGAATGCATTCTAGAATACGATGCGGCAATATTGCTGCACCTCTTACATGGGTTACTCGTACATCTCTCTGCCTTGTCGATAATAATGTTCCATTTATTCTACGAGTCCTCTGAATAAGAGCATTCATTTCGAGGCGTAACACCAATTGAATGGCTTTATCCATCCTCCTAGTACATTTTCTTCCCAAAACTCGAGTTTTCATTTGGTTATGGAAACTTTCTAAAAACATGTTGGTATTTATTCCTAAACCTTTGCGATAGCAGTATGCCCAAGTAGTTGCTCGGCTGTAATAAAATTTCTTAAAATATTTAACAAATAATTTCGCATCATCATCTTTCTCAAGCTCATTCAAATAAGAATTTAAATTGCTCCAAAAATCATCCTCATCTAAAATCATTTTTAATTCTATTAATTTCTGGTAAATGACTTCACGCTTTTCTCTATTTAAAATCTTATTTGATACTGATCTTTTCCAGCTCCTGGACACATGCCAGGAGCATAAAAGTTTGTGCTGTGGCACACCCATGACAGATGACCACGCATTAAAATAAGCTGGAGCGTCATCTGTCATGAATACCTTTGTTTTAAGTATACCTACCACCTTATAAATTTCTTCGAAAAATATTTTACACATAAACTCATCTTGCCTATTTGAAAAACAAAATGCGACTGGTATGCCACTTCCAAATTCATCAACCACAAGCAGTGTTTGTAGCAGATACCCATAGCCATTTGTCCCATGGGTACCATCAATACAAACCCTGTCAGTACCAAACTTCTTCAACATTCTACATTGCATTTTTGTCATGATTATTAAGATATAATCTTCATCTTGAAGACCGTACTTAGCAGTGCCAGGTCCAACTTCTTTATGAAAAACAATAATGAATCGATTATCAGATCTCATCTCCTCTAACCACATTCGCACACTTACTGTATCATCTTTACATTTAGGAGTATATGATGGTATAACCTTTTTTTTAATATTCCACAAATCTTTCTTAGATATTAATGAAGCTCTCTCAGGTAATGTTTTACGATAACAAGCTTCACGTATTGTGCCGATAATCACATCGTCGTTAACCCCAGCTATAATTTTTTCTGCAAATATTATACAAGTTGTAATATTGATTTTATATGTGGTATATTATACATATATACAAATATATGTACATATGTATGTATGTATGTATGTATGTATGTATGTATATATATATATATATATATATATATATATATATATATATATATATATATATAAATATAGAATTTTGTAGTATGTTGTTCATATTTAAAATTTAACATTTAAAATATATATAAAATGAGAAAAGCGAAATTGTACATGTGATAATAAATATATACCTCTGATGTCCTTCAGCAAATTTTTGTCTATTGGGACATATTTCGCCAGTTTCTCATGTCCTACATGAGTTTTCCAATAGTCTACAACCACGTGACCATCATCATATAAGGTAGATATGATTCGCGAGGGGCATGCAGAACCAATCCTTCTGCTTTCTTTCAAATGTCTGCCTGTGAGTTTTTCATTTGTGTATGATCTATTACAATTGTAATATATTATTATGGGTCCGCCTTTTGTTTTGTGTCCAGCACTGTCCTTTACATAAAAAGATGAATCCTGCTGCTCCGTCAGATTTTTCCATGCATAAAAATCTACAAGTAAGTATGAAAATTATACACAACTTCTTTAATAATATCAATAATTAAAAATTAACAAACCATTTAGTGAAGAAAAAAACTGTTCTTCATATTTTATTTCAATGTTGTGGTCAAATTCAATATGATCCCGCAATGCATCATATCTTGAAAAGCTTCTTTTACATATTGGGCATATTATCCTTTGTGATCGTGGCGAACCTAGAAATGAAGTCTTGGGGGATGCTTGAGTGAATGGGGAAGATGATTTAGGAGTGACAGTCAAAGTGGAAAAAGCAGTTGATGTAGAAGGTTGTGGAGAAAGCGGATTGGGAATGGTATGGATCCTAGAAATATTAGTGCAAATCAATGGAACTGAAGGCCGACGGATAATAGAAGTCGTTGGAGAATGGGAAGATGGTCTGGAAGACGTGGATGGTTGGCAAATTAATGGAACTGAGGGCCGACGGATAATAGAAGTTGTTGGAGAATGGGAAGCTATTCTGGAAGGCGTGGATGGTTGGCAAATGCTAGTATCAGTAGGAAAATCAGAAGTTATGGATGGTGATGGTAAACTGGAGGCTGTATAGGAATGAAGTGCTAATGAAGTATGAGGATTGATACGAAAATTATTAAAAAAGGTATTGTAAGGTATAAATTCTGGCATAGGTGTAGTAGGAGGTATTTGGATATGTAAGGAATTCTGCGAACTTGATTGTGATTTGGAGTCAGAATCAACGTCTACAGAAGGATTACAGGGAGAGGCGGAATGGAACTTATTTACATGTCTTTTTAAAGCATATTTAGTATGTAGTAATTTTTGACAATAACTACATTCGAATGTAGTTTTATATCGAATGCTTTGCTCGCCATGTACCTCACGAACATGGCGATATAAGGAGCTACTGCTCTTAAATTGCTTAAAGCAACGTGAACACACAGTTTTACTAATCATAGTAAAAGCTATAAGAAGTAACTAAACAATATAAATCGCTATAAAAGAAATAAAAACTAAAAATAAAATACTATAATGAAGTATATAAAAAAAAGTTGAAAGAGAACGTAACCTATTCAGAACTATTTTTAAAACCTATATTAACTAAAAAAAATTTGATATAAAATATAGAAAGAAAACGATTAAAACAAACTAGATGTACACAAATAATGAAACCTAACTACGAAGTAAACATGACCTAAAAATGAGCTTGAAGCTTAGCTCGATAAAAATGAGTTTGAAACCTATCCTAAATAAAAATGAAGATATAAAAAGAAGAAATGAATTGTAAATAGTAATAAAGAATGTAAATAAACCTAGCACTATAACTATATATGTAAAAAGAAAACGATTAAAACTAACTAGATGTACACAAATAATAAAACCTAACTACGAAGTAAACATAACCTAAAAATAAGCTTGGAGCTTAGCTAGATAAAAATGAGTTTGAAACCTATCCTAAATAAAAATTAAGACATAAAAAGAAGAAATTAATTGTAAATAGTAATTAAGAATGTAAATAAACCTAACACTATAACTATATATGTAAAAACTCAACTAGTATGTTAACCTAAGGTACTGAAAATTAAAGTAATTCGTCCTATATCCTACGTTACCTATATCCACAAATAAATAAAAGAAAATAATACAAATGATATAATTTAAGAACACAAAAATGAAATAAACCTGATCTAACCTCTAACTATTTCAGCAACAAAATGAATAAACATACAGATTGAGAAGCCGGAAAATTAACAATGATTACAACATGAAAAACGTGAAATTCCTATGCGCGAACACCAATTATGTTTGACAGACTTGACATTTAGGGTGCATTCGACTTGGACGCTTACGCGCTGTGAGCGCTCACGCTTATAAGCACGAATTTTTAGCGTTCGACTTGGCCGATAAGCGCCTAGAAGCGCTCAGAATCGATAACTAAATTCCGTTCGTTTTGGAAACTGTGAGCGTCAATAAGCATCAAAATGGCGGCAACTGTCTGTCAAATAATAAATAATTTATTAGAAATTTTTATTTGTTTCTGAATCAAATAGATCAACAGAAAATGATTGTAATGCACAGCTCGCCATTTTTGCGTACTTATTGAACTGAGAATTGAACTATGAATAAATGAAATTAGGATTAGATTATGCATTCCATGCATTCGTTTTGATAAACGGCCATGACACTTTCACGCGCCTCACCTCCGTGGCGTGAGCGCGTTTGAGCGCAAAATATGTGCTACGAACATGCTACGATGATGCTACGAGCGTACTTATGTGACACTCACAGCGCCAAGTCGAACGATGAAAGCGCGCTCACGGCGCGCTCACAGCGCGTAAGCGTCCAAGTCGAATGCACCCTTACACACCCGGGGAACGGGCAAGCTCTCCTCTAGCGGATTTTAAGTGCAACTTGGATTCCAACAAATATGGCGGATGACACATTTATGTGTTGAATTTGCTGTCAACTAATATTTGTTTTGACGTAAAACGTGCATTTTTAGGTTAAACATTTAATAATTCATATTTCTTACATATTTTCATCATTTATTTTTTATGATTTTACAATAACAGAGGTAAGAATAATGAAATTCAAAATATAAATTTTGTTTGCTACTACCAATATGCATACTATTTACATTCAGGAAGGATATTCAATCAGAAAAATATTGAAAGTTCAAAGTTTGAAGAGGCTTTAGTAAATTAAATCAATATTTGCTTAAATGATCATATATACATGCATAAAAACATTATTAAAAATCCATTTGTGAGTTTGATTCTTAGAAAACACTAATTATGAAAGTTAGAAATTAGTTATATTGCTTTAGGTTTTACTTTTCAGATTCATTCGTTGGTAGTTTCCAGGGTATTTGAAAGTAGGTTCTTATTTATTTGCACTCCAGATGGCTTTATTTCTTTTGTTAATAATGTGGGCTTAGGCAGAATCACTCCAACCCAAATTAATGTACTCTCGGGCGTAATAAAAAAAAGTAAAATCTGGATGTGCTGTATTAACTGACAAAGGTAAATTCATGAGTAAAAAAGACAAAGTTTTTAATTGTACTTTATAGTCAAGATTTTCATCAATATGGACTGAGTTAGACAAATTAATAAATATAGCAGTACTTGTGCATATGCTATTTGTTTAAAATTAAATTTAAAACGGATTATTTTCACCAGGAGATATTAATTAAACTCACTTTGAAGCTAGTGTGCGTATACATGTAGAATGAGTCATACACAGAATGAAAATTTTAAAACTTCTATGTAATATACCAAAGGACTATCAATTTTCTGGTGAAAATATTGTTTTTTTATGTCCTATTTTGGTGAATCTTCAAACTTTCATTATTGGATAAGATGGGGATGGTAAATGAAAGAAATGTTAATTTATATTAGATTAAATATATATGTATCATGACTGTTAGCTTGTATAATAATATTAACTGTACATAAATGTTATATGTAATACATAAATTGAAAGCTTTTGGAAATCAAAGATGAATACTTCTTATATGTACCTAAATTAATCTGAAAAAAAAAACATTGAGAGCATATAATTTAAAGTATAAAATTTTAACAGGTATGTAATATTAAATTCACACAAATAATTACCAATCTATGGAGGAGACCCTCTTCTATCAATATTAGCAAATACTGCTCATCGGTATCAAATTTTGGAGAAATTCTTCAACCGTGCATATACTGATACAATAGCTTCCTAAAACTTTTAAAAGTTAATATCTTTTTATGCAATAAAACAAAACATACCTGCAGTAATGCAATAATACAAAACAATTAAATCAAATCAAATTGCAGTGTAGAAATCCTGTAAGTCCTGACATCCTATCAAATATGAGATTCATTCTGCAACAAAGTACTAATAGAAAGATCTAAACTTTGTTCAGCTGATAACACAACATGCAAATCATAAAATATCTTATGGCCTTGTCTGAAAATTTTATCATACCTTTAAGCAACACATGTTTGTTTTAATATGGTGGTCAATAGCAAATACATTTTAATTATGAGTACATACCTCAATGAATCTATCCAACGAAGCAATTTATTTCTTCTAACGTTAATTATAACAAAATTCACTTTCTTATTCATGCGCTTTCTTCACTTAATATACGCACATGATTGGTGACTCAGATATGCCGCATTATTATTAGAAATAAATAAAAATTGCGATTATAAGAAGCAATAACCATCTTTAACAAGCACATAAGTTTGAATAAAACCTGTCAAAATACGAAATAAAACCTGTCAAACGCCATCTTGTTTGGAATCCTTGTTTGCACTTTTTCGCCACCCCGAGAAGTCATGGCGTTTTCACTGACATTTTTATGAGCTTGCCCGTTCCCTACTTCACAGCATTTTTATACACAAATACATGCGCAGCCGCATAATGAGCGCCTGTCATCGCTACTGTCTGTTGATACTCCTCGCTCTTCGAGTCTTCGATCTTTTAAATTTTCAGCTCCTTCCCAGACAGCACAAGACATGCCAGGGAATGTCCCACTTGTCCTCACAATCTCCCAATATCGCGATATCCTATGAATATCCTATGAATATGCAACGGGACGTCTCAAAACCAAAGGACTCGAGCAGGTATAGCGCACGGGTTCACGAACATGTCGCTCTCGTACGCGCACGGCTTGAGACCTCTAAACGTATATGTTTGTCCCTTTCTCTTCGCCGTCGCGTCGCTTGGCGTCATCAATTAAGCTACTGACGCTATATGTCGAATTCTTTTAATAGTTGTTGCGTAATTGAGTATTATTAGTGAAAATTTCATTTGTTCTGTTTAAATATATATGTGGTGTTATTAATAAATAATATTGAAAATCCAAATGCTCTAAACTTGATTAATAATAGTGGAAATTGCATGTGTTTTATATAATTAATGTATATTTGAGTGTGTAATAAATAATTTATATCATACTTGAAAAAAATAAATTTACATTTTTATCAGTTTAGTTCTCTATCTAAGAGTTATAATTTGAGTTCACACTAAAATATATAGTATTTTAAAACTTCTAATATAATATGGCGCCAAAAAAAAAGTATTCAAAAGTGTTAAATTTATTTCAAAGAGGCAGTTTCAAAGGCGTGTGAATTACTATGTAAAGGCTAATATCCAGGCAACAGCTATTACTGATTCTGCAAATCTACAGAAAAGTTGCACAAGAATAAATATATGTGCAGAACAGCCAATTGAAAACATGAATAATGATTTGGAGACATTGATTACTTCTCCAGAAAAAAAGCTGCAGACAAATTGGACGGAACAGAGATAATAATTGTACGTAAAGCTTTTTGTATACTGCATGGTATTTGAAATATTATGTTACTAGTACAAATATATATTTTATAATGCTGGCATTTCTACCCTGCTAGATTCAATTGGCGAGGAAATTTTCATCAGGGAGATGACTAAAGTTCGATTAACCATGGAGGGCCTTGAGGAGCAAGTGAAGGAAATGATGTTGAGAATGGATTCCTTCCAGTCTCCTAAGGCTGTCATGAGTAGTGACATGGGCCAAATCAAGGAAATTTTAAACAAGTTTCCTCTGTGCTCAATGGACGAACTTCGAGAAGTGGAGGATAGTCTAAGAAACAACAAGGATGTGAAAACACAACTGGTAATCACAAGTTCACCCAAATTTATGTTTATTAGTTAGCTTTATTATAAACTAGTCTTTATTTTTAGATTTTGTATTTGGCTAGGACAGGTGGAAAATGTGCTAAATCTGTCACAGTACAATTGATTAAATTGATATTTGATGATGGCCTGGCTAGGAGAGTTCAGCTGGGCAGGGGGTAAAGGAAAGCACAAGTAGTGATGGGCGTTGAATCAACGAACGGTTATTTTCAACCGTTTCTTCTTCGTTAACTAACTAACCGTTTCGTCGCAACGAAATAACTAGTTGAAAATCAACTAGTTTCGAAACAGTTGAAAACATGGCGGCCAGTTAGTTATTCAACGATATAGGAGTTCGTTCGTTTTCGAAAACGAACGTTAGCAGGTACCTGGTGTTGGAAAGGATCAACTAATACTATGAAAATCGCTTATTGTTAGACTACTGCTTTTATAATATTGCAGATGTTCGTGCACATATTATAGAAACTTGCAACACGCGCCAAATCGTTTAATTTTAGAAAATCAGTTACATTTTTTATAGTTTTCAATGTTTAATATTTTTTCATAAAATTCTCATAGCATTTGTCTTGTAATAATTTTTTTAAACTAAACCTGAAAATTAATTTTTTATTTTTTATAACATTTTTATGTAACTATATATTTTTATATTGCTATTTTTATATAACACGTAAATTCAATGTTTTAGTATACGGCTTTGCTGTAATGAAAATATTTAAGTTTTTTAAATTAAACCATTATTTATTACTAATAACAATAAATGTGATATATATATATATATATATATATATATGTGTGTGTGTGTGTGTGTGTGTAATAAATGTGACAATTCACATTTATATATTTTTATTCAACAAATCAGTTAACAACGTCAACTTGACTCTTATAAGAACAAACTTCATATTACCAACTTTCAATAAAACAGTTATTTTAACTATCAGTTTCTTAACGTTGCCAGCGTTGAATCGTTAAAAATAACTATAGTTGAAAAATAACTAGTTATTTAACTAGTTGACGAACCCCCGATATCCGTTTCGTTTCGTTGACGGCAAAACCGTCAACGACCCACCTCTAAGCACAAGTATTGCGAGCTTGTGCTGTGCGATATCATCAATGGTAATTTATAGTTCCTATGTTTATGATATGTTGTAAATTATGTATAAAACTTACATATGAATAATTTCAGAAACTGTTCTAAAGAACTTACCTAATGAAACCAAGTTTGCCATCTCAGAGGCTACAAAAAGCTGGCTGAGGCATGCCAGTGAATGGTATACAAGGTATGTTTGTGAGATGTGTATTATTAATTTTTATATATATATATATATATATATATATATATATATATATATATTGAAGAGACGTTAGTAATGAATTTACTAATTAATGAATAAATGTAACCAATTTTTAATAACTTCTTGAGTAGATTATAGTTTATTTGGAATACATAACGACGAGAATTGGAACATTTGTAGCTCTTCTGGAAGTGTGTGAAATCAAAGAATTTATTTAGATACAAAAATTTATTTAGCGCTTTATTATAATATTTTAGTTGTTACTTGTTCAAGAGTTCAGGACTAACTAACCTATATTTTTACATTTTTAAAATATTTCCAATATTTCTAGTTTTATGATAGCTCGCCGAGGGTACATGAGCTATCATGTAAACTTTTATTAACGGTTGTCTTGCAGATGTACAAGATATTCGCAACATTTACCGTTACTCGGGATTATACATCGTTCAAATGAATTTACTTATGACTATATTTATAATTATAAAGAACACAATTCTCAACACCTCCATCGTGAAAATTAAGCCGTCCTCGGCTTATTACATAACATTAGCGAATTTCAGGTTGTAATTAACTTGTACATTAATAACTAAAATCTTTATCTTAATAACTATGAGTTGATGCATCATGGATATAACAACTAAAGACATCAATTTTTATTTATATTTTAGTAAATCAAAACACTTAGCTAAACCTTAACATTAATATTATAAATTGGACTATTTTTTTAAATTCATTTACATTACATATTTTAGATTTAATTTATTTGTGAAAAGAAATATTATTTTTATTATTATTATTTAATCAATAAAATTTAATTGATAATTTGATTTATGTGATAATTAACATTATTCTATGAGATTTATCAAATTAATTAAATGCAATTCAATAATAAGATTTTTTTTTTTTTAGAAAATTTGATAAAGATTATGTTACTTTACTCGTTTGGTATAAACTTTTTCAATTTGTTGTTGTGCACTTGTACATGTTTATTATGGATCAAAATGGTACTATTTATACTATCGGTTTTTAATATTTTAAAGGGACCTTTCCATAAGGGCAAAAGTTTTTTGCATCGCCGCGGATACGGAGTTTCATCTCTCAAAAGAACATACTCATCGATCTCAAAGGTTTCAGGATTCAAATTTTGATCATAGTTACTTTTAGTTTTTTCTTTACTACTCAGTAAATTTTGTCGAGCGAAACTATTCGCGTGCGATAACCGCGATTTTAACTCATTAACGTAAGTGTCGTAGTTATATTGAAATATAGGTTTTGCTATAGACAGTGGTAATTCTAATTTCCTACCAAAAACTAACTCGAAAGGTGTGTAATTTGTCGCGTTGTGTATAGTTGTATTATGGATAAAAACAGCGTATTTTATGCATTTGTCCCAATCTGTTTGGGTTTTGTTAATATAGGATCTTAAGTTTTGAACATAATCCCTATGGATCCTTTCGCATGAGCCATTCGACTCAGGTCTGTACGGGTAAGTTGTTATCTTTTTAATTTTTAGTAATTTGCAAACGTCCTTGAATAAATTGCTAGTAAACGTGGTGCCTTGATCAGATAGAATTTCCTTAGGAAAGCCGAATTTTAAAATAATTTCTGAAACGAATGCATTTGCGACTGTCGAACTTTCTTGGTTACAAATGGGGATCGCGCCTGCATATTTCGTTAAGTCGCATATAAATGTCAACAAATATTTATTTCCGGAGTCAGAAACGGGGTAAGGGCCGCAAATATCAATACAAATTTTTTCGAAAGGCTCGCGGGCTGTTGTTGTTATAACTAAAGGTTGCCTTGTTTTCTTACATACTTTATTTTTTTGACAATCAGGACATTTACTTACATATGATTTAATTTGTTTTCGCATTTTTGGCCATTTGTATATGCTACGTATTCTGCTGAATGTTTTTTTATGGCCCAGATGACCTCCCGTATATTGTGATCTATGAAATTGGTTTAAAATCTCACTTATCTCATCCGGTGTTAGGTTTTCAATAATTTTGTCATAATAAATTTTTAATTTTATGTCGGTGTCTCTGAAAATGTATCGTAATAAAATTCTAAAATTTTCTATTGGTATGTGGCAAAAACTTTGAAATTGTGCGGGAGCTGAAATAGCAATGAATTTAATATTTTCTTGAATTAAATGAGCTTTTAGATTTAAGAGGCAATGGAAAAAATCTTCAAGTGTTGGCTGGGAATTCATGTTATTTACAATTGAGTAAAAAAATTGTTTTTGAGAGTAGTTTAAGTTGAAAAAGTCGTGTGTTCCGTAATTAGCCAAATTGTTATTAATGTTACTATGTTGGAAAAAATCGAAATATTTAGTTAATTTAACATCGGGAGTTTGGTTTTTTATCACGAATATCAATGCGGACTCTTCATGTTTTAGGCATGAGAGAAAAACTTTATTCGATTCCTCGATATTGTTATTAATTATAACCGAGGTTTTAATAGTATTTAAAGAATTTTCAAAATTATTTTCGGAATTAAAATTGCATCTGCATAGAAGAGATAATTTTGGTTTAGAATCGATAGGAATAGATGAAATATTTTCATTAGATGCTAATTCTTGAATATCAAAAAATGAGCGAGATAAACTATCAGCATTCGTATTAGATGATCCAGATTTATAAATTATATCGAATTCATATTCTTCTAAGGAAAGCCTCCAGCGCATTTGCCGTGAATTTGGATCTTTACATTTGTACAGGTAGATAAGGGGCATGTGATCGGTGTACAATTTGAATGGTTTACCATAAAGGTAAGGTCGGAAATGTTTTATGCTCCATACGATTGCTAAAAGTTCTTTGTCTATAGTAGAATAATTTTTTTCTGCGGGGTGCAAGGTTCGCGATGCATATGCAATTGGTAAATCTTTTCCTTCGACATTTTGAGATAGAACCGCGCCTAATGCAAAACCGCTTGCATCCGTGGTTAATGAAAATTCTCGATCGAAATCGGGATACTGCAGTAAAGGTGGATTTATTAGTTTTTGTTTAAGTTCATTAAATGCAAGTTCACACTCTTGGGTCCAATTAAATTTTGCGTCTTTTTTAATAATTCGGTTAGAGGTAATGCAATTCGGGAGTAATTTTGTATAAATTTGCGGTAATTTTATTTCTTTTTGATTGGAAGGAGTGGGAAAGTTTTTTACTGAGGAAATTTTATCAGGATCAGGAGACACACCGTGTGCACCGATAATATGGCCTAAATACGTAATTTCGTGTTTCAAAAAATGACACTTATCGGGTTGCAACTTTAGATTGTATTGTCGTAATTTTTCTAGCACTTCTAGTAACTTGGTATTATGTTCTTCAAGTGTTTTCCCGTAAACTATTATGTCGTCCATATAAACTAGAGTTCTAATTCCTTGTATGCCCGACAAAACTGTATTGGTCAGTCTCTGTAAAGTCGCCGGTCCGCCCTTAAGTCCAAAACTCCAAACGGTAACCGTTTATATTCAAAATGTCCGAAGTCAGTAGAAAATGCAGTTTTTTCTCGGTCAGTTTTATTTAGTAAAATTTGATGAAAGCCTTGAGCTAAATCTAGAGTCGTGAAAAATCGTGAGTTACCTAGTTGGTCAATAATGTCAGTGATGTTTGGTAGTGGGAAAGCGTCCGATTTTGTAATTGCGTTTAATTTTCTGAAATCGACGCAAATCCTCCATTTTTTATTTCCGTCAGTATCAGGTTTTTTGGGGACAATAATTAAAGGAAAATTCCAGGGACTTCGCGAGTTTTGAATAATACCGTCTGCTAACATCTGTGAAACTTGTCGGTGAATTTCTGTTTTATGAGCGTGCGGTAATCTGTAGGGTTTTATGTATATGGGTTTTTCGTCATTTTCGACGGGGATACTATG